TATTTAGCTAATATTTACCTTTCCTAATATCTGACACTGGGCTGGGGTTGTGGCTCAGCAGTATAGCGCTTGCCTCACACATACGAGGCTCTGGGTTCGAACCTCAGCACCACATAAACATAAATAAATAAAAGGTATTGTGTTCAATAACAACTAAAAAATAAATATTTAAAAAAATCTGACACTTAGCTTTAAATCAAAAATTTGAGATTTACTCTTTAAATCTTTAACCAAGAATCATTTCTGAAGTGGTGTAATTTTGGTTGCTATCAGATCCACAGTGGTATGATACTTTGATAAAAATTTTGCTATGTTACAGATTGGGAACAAGATAAAATTGTAAGGAATTTGGGATTTTTATTAAATAAGTAGATTTTTAGCTACTTTTCCCACAGAAAGATTAACTATGTGAAACGATAATTTGCTGCTATAGTAGCCTTTTTATTATCTATATGTATTCCATAACATCCCATTGTAAACCTCAAATATATGCAAAATTTGTTTTAAAATAAAACAAAAAGATGTTGTGTCCATCGAAAACTAAAATAAATAAATAAATAAATATTAAAATCTCTCTTAAAAAAATTTTAAAGAAATTTTAAAAAATATGCTGATGAAATGCTTGGAAAGAATGTACAAAAATAAAGCAAAATAAATGGTTCAGGATCTAGCTCAGTGGTAGAGAACTTGTTGAACATGTGTGAGAATCTTGGTTCAATCTCTAGCACCACAATAAAATATGATAAAATAAAATATATGATAACAACAAATATCAAAATATAAATATTCACAGCTTCTTTCTTCCCATCTGCTAAGGAATATTTTCCTACTATCTTGCTTGTCTTATTATCTTCCCTTAGTTTTAGTCACTGTTACAAGGCTGGGGCCATCTTGGTAACTGAGATGGCACTAAGATACCCCCCCTTCAAACCCAGATTTTTGTGATCAAGTCAGAAAGATTTCAGAGTAACAGGCAATAAGTTTATTAGAAGGGATGGGAAAGGGGATGGGGGAGCACTCTCAAGGGATAGAGGGGGTTCTCTCAGAGAAAAGAGGGATAACATGACTCTCCTTCACTCCAGTTTTATTAGGGATCCCATCGAAGTTTCCTGAGAGTCCTGTTCAGGTTCTACCTCTTGATTTTTGACTGACAGCAGGATGACATCAGATTTTTAAGACCCCACTGCCTTGACAACTCTAGGTCCCTTTGGCCCATGCTGGTTCTAACTGGAATCTGTTCTTACAGATTTTATGGTAAGAGGGAATTATCTTTATCTTCCCAAATTCTGGGATCTTTTCCATGTAAGGATCACAAAATTTCCCCCCCCCCCCTTAAGGGTAACTGGTGTTCTTATCAACATTATTTCAGCCTGCATTCTGCAGATAACAGGTAGTTTGCTGAGGAATGTAACATATCCTGTTGACTTAAACTAGGCAGAGCTGCAGGTAGATTGCTTCTTGGAAAAGAAAGCACATGGGGGTCAGCACAGTGGACCCATTTTATAGAAATATTCCCTTAACCTCATGTTCCCACACTCATATCTGTCTGTCCCCTATCAGCACTATTTGTACACCTGGGTAAAGGGTTTACAGGTATATGTGTGTATGTTTGTGTTTACCCATACACCCATGTGTGTTAAAGGACAGAGGGAACAAGCTAGGGAGAACAAGAGGGAAATGGCAAAGAAAGAAAAGAATGATGGAATTAACATCAAAAAAGAAAGAAAGCTACTCATGGAAAAAAATAGATCCCAGGGAAAAAGTAAAACAGCATACAAGTTTCTGGGAGAGTATTGCCAGAGATTTTGAGGAATGGCTGCTATACTGGGAAAGATTTTGAAATGATAGGAAAAAACTTACTTTATAAAATTTCCTCTACTTTAATTCTATATCAGCCAGGCACACTGGCACATTGCTGTAAGCCCAGTGATCCAGGAGGCCGAGGCAGTAGAATGACAAATTCAAAGCCATCATGGGCTATTCAGTGAGACTCCTCAAAACAAAAATGTCTGGGGCTGTAACTCAGTGGTAGAGCCCCTACAAACTGTTCAATTCCAAGTCAAAAAAGAAAAAGAAAAAAAAACAGGCTTGTGGTGCAGGCCTGTAATCCCCGCAGTTTTGGAGGCTGAGGCTGAAGATCACAAGTTCAAAGCCAGCCTCAGCAACTTAGTGAGACCCTGTCTCTATTAATATTCCTGAAACCACTAGGGATGTGCCTCAGTGGTTAAGCACCCTTGAATTCAAAAGAAAAAAAATATTTTATCTGCCCACCACACACAACACACACCAGAGACTTCCAATATTTTTTCAGACTGTTTTCTTTGAGTTTTACGTGATGACTGGGTTACAAAGGGCTTGGCTTAATTCAGATGACCAAATTACTAGAACACCCAGAGACTTAATTTTATTTTATTTTTTATTTTTGTAGTACTGGGGATTGAACCCAGGGGTGTTTTACCACTGAGCTACACCAAAGTCTTTTTTTTTTTTTTGAAACAAGGTCTCAGATTTGAAATCCTCCTGTCTCAACCTCCCAAAATCTGGTATTACAAGTGTATGCCACTATATCCAGCTACCAGGAAACATTTTCTATTCAGATATTTTCTATAGAAGTAAATTAGCTGAGGATATGGCTCAAGTGGCATGCGCGGGGCGCTGGGTTCGATCCTCAGCACCACAAAGATGTTGTGTCCACAGAAAACTGAAAAAATAAATAAATAAATCACTTCAATTGCTGAAGAACAAGCAAGGTTTTATCTCATTCTGTTACTGTCATTTCTTGGGCTGGGGATGTGGCTCAAGCGGCAGCGCACTCGCCTAGCATGCGTGAACCCGGGCCGGGTTCGATCCTCAGCACCACATACAAAACAAAGATGTTGTGTCCGCTGAGAACTAAAAAATAAATATTAAAAAATTCTCTCTCTCAAAAAAAAAGAGACATAACTCATAAATCTTCACTTTAAAAAAAAATAAAATTAACTTTTTACCCACTTGAATCAAAGTGTGAAATATGATATATCAAGAACTATGTAATGTTTTGAACAACCAACAATAAAAAATTTAAAAAAAAAGTAAATTAGTGGCTTCTAATTTTAAGATTACTAGAATGATTCAATTTAAAAAAAACACTGAAGGAAATTGTAAAGGGAGATGTATATTTGAATTTTTAACCATTTGAGGAAACTCAGGGAAAATCCTATTATTAATGTTTAACATTGCCACCCTCCTGAGATCTTCCTGAAATCAGAAAATCTTTTGGCAACAATCTTTCAGCATCTTTCTTACATCTCTGTTATCACAATTTATTCTAAAAACATTCTTATTATAAAAGAAATATATATTGGCCTGGCATCCTCCCCACCCCCCATTTCCAGGGATTGAATCAGGAACTCTTATATGCTAGAAGTGCTCTGCCCCTGAGCTACACCTCAGCCCTGGGTTTATACTTGGGGATTAGAAGCTCATTGAAAACAGAGATCATACCTTATCTGTAAGACAATATTTTGGCAATTAACAATGAATGACACAGGCCTTAGAGTCACACACACCTAAATTTGAATTTTGGTTCTGCAATTCCTCAGTTAAAATACAAAGTTGTTTTTTGTAGTTTTTATAGTTTAACTTTATTTAGTCTCCATCCTCACTTTTGTTAAAATTGAGATAATAATGCCATTTTTTTTTCAGGGCAGTTATGAACATTAAATGAGAAGATGTATGAAAGCACTTAGCCTATTGCCTAGCACACCCATGTATTCAATCAACAGTAACTAAGGGCTTATCTTCTGTATTATTTAAACTATACCATGTAGCATGGAAGGAAGTATGCCAAGAATTAAGTCATAATGAAGAGGAAAAGAGAAAAACACTAACACACACAAAATGTAAGGGGCAACACCCTTGACTTACCATACCTTTATTTTCCTCTATGATCTTGGAATTTGGAGTCCAAGAAGCTGCTGTGAAAGCTGGAGGCCTGCTTCCAGCCCAAATGAGACTTATTGAGGTAGGGTAGGAGGAGAGTTTGTTAGGTCCAGGGCTCCCCTGGGAGTTCTGAGCCTGGCACAGAAATTCCAATTCAATCTTTGGTTTTGCCTCCCCTTTCCTTGTCACAGTATTTCTGAGAGTATCCTAGTGATGGAAACTTCCAGTCACTAACCTGCACCTTTCTGGAAGTTAGCGACCTCTTAGACAACATCTTAGACAACATTTCCTACAATAACAACACAGAATTTAACTTCTGTATTCAAACTACTAGCTTTATGTTGCTTATCAGCACAATAGGCTGTACATGTGTTGCTAGGTAATACTGAATTCCTCTGAAGCAGATCTTAAGGCTGCAGCCTAGAGCTTAGCCCTAAACACAGAACTTGTCCTAAATTCTACAGTACTACCATAATGCCCAGAACTTTTGGTTGCACACTTCTGTTCCCTACAGAACATAGCCTCTGGGCAATTAGCCTGAGGTTCATTGTTTAAGACACTTAGGAGGAAGTTCCCAGCAATGAGTTTCAAAAATCTGGCAGGAATCCAGAAAAGGAGCTTTATTTAGGGAATAGGATATACAAAATATTAGCTTCCAATTTTTTCCTCTCCGTAATATAAAGTTCATTTTTCATACCACTCAGCTATTGCAGGGTAGAAAGTCAATGCCTGAAAAAAACGGACTTGATTAGCAGTCAAGTTATTTAAACTTTGTTCTAGAAGTCATATAAAATTAATAAAGTCATAATTTATCCCGTTCCAAGTATGACTATTCTGAATCATCTAACATGTTAAATTTTTGCAAAATACAAATTCCTCATTTTTTGATCATTACCATACAGTTTCCTAGTTTCTGGCTAAAAATAACTATTTTCTAGAGTTGTTTAACTAATTTTATGTGAAAAAAAAAATCTCAGGAAACATTTGCCAACTTAAGTCACTTGCTTTTCTCACTTAAGATGGAAAAAAAATTACCTTTTCAACTTTATCTTTTTTGAGGCTTCAACCTTTCCACTGTCTCATTTTTGCTTGAAGAATGCTAAAGTGTCTCCTCTTGATTTTATGTGACTTTTCACGAATCCAGTTAATTTCCTGAATCCTTCTATCAGCCCATCGCCTGTGAGGGCACAGCAGGGTTGCACATACCAGTTCCGGTCACTGCAGAGCTTCTTCACTTTGAATATTCTGGTAATGTCCTCCGCAGTCAGAGCTCCAGGCACATCTTGTTTGTTGGCTAATAGGACAACAGGCACATTTTTAATATGTTCATTCTTCAAAATGTGCTCAAACTCTTTCCGTGAGACTTCCAGTCGTTGTTGATCTGTGCTGTCCACAACATACACCAGCCCATCAGCGTTCTCAAAATAATAGCTCCAAACAGTTCTCATTTTTTCCTGTCCTCCAACATCCCAGACTGTGAGCAAAAGGCTGCTTTCCAATTCGATCATCTCCACATTGAAACCTATTGTTGGCATGGTCGTAATATCCTTAGCAAGCTTTAGTTTGTAAAGGAGAGTAGACTTCCCGGCTGAATCAAGTCCCAGAAGAAGAACGTGGGCTTGCTTGATTTTGGAGTTCTTAGAACTCAGAAGACCCATCTGAGGCTTTTTCTTCTTTAACAATCTTTTCTTCTGACCAGAGGCGGTGTGTCCTTTCTAGATCTTGCATGAAATTGTGTAGGAGGAAATAAGAGAGCAAATGCTTTATGATATAGCCCAAGAACAGGAGCTTGTGTACATTTATATTGTGGCTTATCAACTCTTATAGGCAAACAGTATTTTAATTGCAGTCCTAGCCAATCCTGAGTTATCTGTGGTGTGAGTAACTAGCCAATATCATAGTGGCTCAAAGGGGACATTCTTTGTAAATGAGTAGGATAAGGAGTGGCGTGCCTGGCTGATGCTACAGCTTTTGTCCCTTTCAGGTGCTAGAAACTTGGAGGAAATCAAAGGATCAGACATGCACAGTAACATGGTTTAGAAGCAGAATGAAAACAACTTTTTGTTGTATTTTATTTTTAACTAATCTTCAAGTTAACTTTAAACTTTTTGTTTAACATTTTGTAAAAAAAAAAAAAAATTTTTTTTTGTAGAACTGTAGTTACTTGACTATTTCTCTTATTACAATAGTAAATAAATAACTAGGGTTCTTAAATCATGAAGAGAGTTATCTCCTACTGCCCACCCCCACCCAGTATCTTAAGTACTTTCCCCTTGACCAGATTTCTCAGTAAGAAATTTTAAACCACCCAAGGTTATCTGAACCTTTCTCCCATAATCAGATAGAGCATTGTTTCTTGAGTCTACCAGGCAGAGAATTAACACTACTCACAAAACCAGACTTAGAGGGGAAAGTTTGCACACAAACACTTTTGAATTAAGCAGACATTCTAGTTGAAAATAGAAGATTGAATATATGTATTTATCTCCTTTTCTTCTCAAGACTACACCTAAATGACAGCAAAGAAATAAAAAGAATATGTAAACCTATAGCGAGAGGAGCAAGCAAATCCATCAAAGGGTGAAATATTTCAACAAAACTATGGAAGATGGAAATTAGGTGGAAGGTGAGCCATAACTTATATGGTATGATAATGCTCAGGCTTGCGGTGCTAGGTCACTGGGGATAGACAAGAGGCTCCAGGAATGGCAGAGAGAAGGAGTGAAATAAAGGACTAAAAATAGAGGGAAATAACTAAGAGTCTAAATAAGGAACAGAAAGCACCCACTTGTTCACACACATACCCCTCAGTTGAATGACTACTCAGCAATAAGGTGTTTAGTTCTAGGCAAAGAGGTAAAGTGTTTTTTTCCTAAAGAAATTGGTCTTTAAAAAAAATGGGGTTTCCACAGCATAATACATAACTTAGTATTGGATTAACCTATAGCCATCCTGGCAATTGGCAAACTTGCTCTTTATACGGAATTCCCAGTCATCTACAAAAGGCACAGAAGTTTCTACGCTTAGTTTGTAGCATGTTTTCAATATGAATGAGAGAGAAATCTAAACAAAAATAAGAACACTTTAAGAAAGATTAAACATGGGGAACAGAACAACATTTTCATTAAATCTAGTTAATATTTTATAGAGATTTGAGAAGATATTATGTCCATTAAACAAGAATTGATATTATTAAAAAGATAAAAAATAAAAATAAAAAATAACAATACCTTTAACTACTGGGTTTGATGGTCCAGGCCTGTAATCCCAGTGACTAGGGAGGCTATGGAAGATCCTAAATTCCAGGGCAGCCTGGACAAATTTGTGAGATGCTGACTCAAAAACTACAAAGAGCTAGGGATGCAGCTCTGTGGTAGAACCCCACTAAATTCTATCTCCACTACCATAAAACACTTTACTCTTGAACATTAAAAACATAAATTTTTTTAAAAATTAAAGATCTGTAATAGGTTAGAAAGACAATATGGAAGGATTCTTTCAGAAAGTAGAATATAGAAAATATGTAAGACAAGAGATGTAGAGGATAAACTCAGATATCTCAACACCTGAGTTATAGGACCTTATTCTATAGAGAATCCGAAAATATGCAAGAGAGAAATGAAACAATGCAGGACCATTTTCCAAAGCTAAAAATTAACTCTCCAAATCAAGAGGCTTCTTTTAGTGCTTAACAATATCATTTTTAAAAAGAGCTATCTTGGGGCTGGGGTTGTGCCTCAGTGGTAGAGCGCTTGCCTAGCATGTGTGAGGCACTGGATTCGATTCTCAGCACCACATATAAATAAATAAAGGCCCATCAATGACTAATAAAATATTTTAAAAAAAAAACAAATAAAATAAAATAAAAGAGCTATCTTAGAACTTCTGGCACAAAATTATTCATAAATATTAAGTAGTATTATATTTTGACTGTCATTACTGCTCCTGTTGTTTATATAACATCATTCTGAAGGAGGAGACAGCACATAACTTCTCTGCATTATTAATCATTTTCCTTCTTTTTACTCCCTTCTATCACATCGATAGGTACTGCACACCTATTATTGTTTTACTTTGTTACTTTAGGTTACTTTCTATGAATGCAAAAGACATTCATGAAATGGCAATGATATATATATCCATTATATATATATATATATATTTGTGTGTGTGTGTGTGTGTGTGTGTTTCTGGGGATTTAACTCAGGGTCTTATGCATGCTAGGCATACACTCTACCATTGACTGTATCCCCATCCCTATTAATCTTAAACATAGTAATTTTTAACAACAAAAAAATTTTTATCTAGTTTGTTTTGTGAGAGTTCACTGTCACTTGACACCCTAAAACCTAAAGAAATCCTTTGGAGTCTCTTCTACTGAAAATAAGTACTTAAAGAGAGAGAGAGACAGAGAGAGAGAGATTGGGCTGAACACAGTTCTACACACCTGTAATTCCAGCAACTCAGAAGGCTAAATCAGGAGGCCTGGCAACTTAGCAGACCCTATCTAAAAATTAAAAATAAAAAGAATGAGGATTCAATCCTGAGTACCACCTCCCACCCCCCACCCCCTGAAAAAGAAGAAGAAGAAGAAATTATGTGAATACTTTTTAAAAATCCTTAACCAATTCACAATTTAAAACTCATCGTGTCTCTCAGATTTTATTTATTTATTTATTTTTGGTAATGGGGATTGAACTCACTTAACCACTGAACCATATCCCAAGCCCTTTTTGGTTTTTGAGACAGAGTCTCTCTAAATTGCTCAGAGTCTCATTAAGTTGATAAGGCTGGCCTTGAATTTATGATCCTCCTGCCTTAGCCTCCCAAATTGCTGGGATTACAGGTGTGCACCACCATGCCCAACAGAAGATACTATTTATATTCATTCATTCATACATGCAGCAAATATATAAATATATATGTATTTTCCCCCTACTGTCAAAACCACCATGTGCTAGATGCCAGGTCACAAAAATAAATCACACAATTACACCTGACTTTAGGTGGCTTTCATTGGGGAGAAAATAAAAGATACATAAACAAACACAATAATATAAAGTAAAAAAAAAAAATGTATGCTGGAGTGTGCACAGTGGCACATGCTTGTAATCCCAGTGAGTCAGGAGGCTGAGGCAGGAGAATCGAGAGTTCAAAGCCAGACTCAGCAAAAGCAAGGCATTAAGCAATTCAGTGAGACCTTGTCTCTAAATAAAATACAAAATAGGGCTGGGGTTATGACTCCATGGTAAAGTGCCCCTGGGTTCACTCCCTGGTACTAACTCCTCCACACACCCAAGAAAAGGGGGTCAGAGGTTAAGGGCTGCTGAGTTCAATTCTTAGTACCAAAACAAAACAAAAAAATACCACTGGTATTCTGGATATTCACAAATTATTTCAGGATGGAGGGCATCAGAGAAATATCTCTGGAGAAGATTAAACATTGACCCAAGCTTGTGGAGATATTGTGGGGAAAGGGCATTCATTAAAGAGATGGTCTACGTGAGTAGAATCAGAAACATGGGATGGATTTGAAAAAGCAACAATTTGTATACATGTAGGGTTTTTTCTATAAACATGTAATTATTAAAAGCATCAGATAAATCTAGATTATAAAACAAGAATCAAGGAAGCAGATCTGGATTCTTCAAAATACGCTGGTGTCATAAAAGACTGAAGAAAAAATGGAGAGGAAGGTGAGGAAGCAGGGAGGAGAAATGCTCTAAATTAAAAGACACTCAATTTTTCAATGCAATGTGCGATCTTTGGGTTCTATTTTAAAAATATTCCAACTAAAGAAATTATTATGAAGTTTGATTATGAACTATATATTAAAAGGCAGCTGGAGCCAGGCACGGTGGCGCACTCCTGTAATCCTAGCGGCTTGGGAGGCTGAGGAAGGAGTCTCAACTCAGTGAGACTCTGTCTCTAAATAAAATACAAAATAGGGCTGGGGATGTGGCTTAGTGATTGAGTGACTCTGAGTTTAATCCCCAGTACCAAAAAAAAAAAAAAAAAGGCAGCCGGGTATGGTGGCACATGCTCTAATCCCAGGGACTTGGGATGCTGAGGTAGGAGGATCTTGAGTTCAAAGCCAGCCTCAGCAAATTAGCCAGGCCCTAAACAATTTAGCAAGACCTTGTCTCAAAATAAAATATTTGGGGATTGGATTGGAGTTGTAGCTCAATAGTTACGCGCTTGCCTAGCACCTATGAGGCACTGGGTTCAATCCTCAGCACCACATAAAAATAAATCAATAATAATAAATAAAAGTATTGTGTTCATCTACAACTACAAATATATAAAAAGTAAAATAAAAGGGCTGAGTATATGGTTCCATGGGTAAACATCCCTGAGTTCAATTCTTTACACGCCCCCCGCCAAAAAAAAGGGAGAGTACTGGGGATCTTGCTCAGTGGTTAAGAGCCCCTGGGTTCAACCTCTGGCAACCCACCCCCCCAAAAAAAAAAGTCTCTGGGGTGGGGGTGTGGGAAAAGGCAATGATAACTTTCATGAGGACAATGTTGGTTATTGTGGTTATGTAGGAAAACATCTTTGATACATATAAAAGGGTGACAGCCGCAAGTTAATTTCAATTGATTCAATAAACACACCACACACCCAGATAGATATCTATATATGGAGGAGGAGTGTGTGT